GGCGAGTAATCATGCTCCTTATGAAATGATGTGGAGGCGAGTATCCATGTCATATGATGAGATTGTGGAGGCGAGTACCTAGGCAAGCGGTGTATACCCATTAGCCTTTATAAGCTAGGCATTGAGGCGAATCTCCATATCTTTAAAAGTAGGTATGGATGATGTAATTATGTTATGAAGATGATTTGTTTGGATGTTGCTAGATATGCCTTCCATGATGTAAATTTGACTAGAGGCGAAAGACATATGTCTTGGCTAAGGATAAGTGAGGTTGCTTAAGGAAGTATTCCTCTTTCATTATGATGTTTATTATGAATTGATTATGTTTATGCCTTATGTCTTATTATGACTAATGCTTATGATTATTTTGTTTATACTAGCCATCATATTTAGTACTTGATTGTACTAATGCATACTCTTGCCTACATTCTAATCAAATGTAGGGTCCGGCGATATTGATTCTCACACTCGTGGCTATCTTCTTTGTTGATCAAGGAAGTGAAGTTTTGGTGAGTCTTTATTGTGTTCGAGGATGTGATTACCACTTTACTTTATGTTTTTCTTTTATGTCTTGGACTATTGTATGGGATATGACCCAAGACTTTATTCATTTTGTTTAGATGGTTTGAGACAATGTTGTTAGACTTCCGCTCGTTTTATAAAAGACTTTGATTGTATTAAAAAGTTTTAAACTCCCGCTCATTTCTATTACTTTATGTTATGATATTCTAAGTGGTTTCTATGAGGCATCTTGGGGTCTTATACGTCTTATTGCATCTAGGGTGTATCCCTGGATCGTGACAGATAAATATGCCACCAACAACCCTGAAATTATGGAGATCAAGTCTTTTTTGATGAAATCACCATTTCCATCACACTAAAATATCTTAATATCTTAATCTCTTTAGAAATTTATTTTTTCACCGTACTCTGAAATTTTACTAATACTTTAAAAAAATTCAGACTTCTTTTTTAGTGGATAAAGTCAAGTATACCTTGTGTGATCATCTACAATTACTATATAATATCCTATATGTTGAGAGGATTCAATCGGAGAAGGACCCACAATTCACAATTTATTTTCAACAAAGGTTCCTTCTCATGTTGTTATCTTGACCGTAGTGACTATCATTGTCACTACCATGGTCACTCATTATATTAGACATGCAAATCAGTAAACAACTACACAAAACAACAATCTACTACAACTAAACAAATTTACAAACTAATTTCTCAAATAGAATTCTCAACCACCATCCCCCAACAACGGCACTATTTTTGATAACGCTCATATGTACTCTTCAAAACCAATTAAAAGAGAAAACAATCGTCATCAATAAAAAAAATACCCAACTAATGGTTGGGGTCGAATCCCACAGAGAATGGTAATAGTAAAAACTAGTGGATGGATGGTTCCATCAATTTAATAAAAAAAAGATTTGGTTATCAACTGTCACAATTAAACTAAAATTTCAGAAAATTTAAGAATTAACAAGCAATCTAGGGATGTGGGGATTGAAATCAATGCCACATAGGGGTAATTGTGCCGCTCTATAGCAATGAACATTCATGAATAGGCTAGGTCATCTTAATGACGCTAATCTTCTTTCTCTTTCATAGCATCTTTGCATAGAATCTCCTTTCGGGCCCATCTATATGCTATACTAAACAACCCAATACCTTACTCTATTCTCTCTTTTGACGCAGAAATAAGACAAATAGATCCGACCCATAACCTCTATTGTTAAGCAAATTACAGACATCAAACATAAATTGCTAGTATCAGACTAATTACTCATTCCAATCGATCACTTCCGGGCATCGATCAGAGATCAGAAGTAGGAATTAAGTTTGCATTATCATAAATAATAATATAATTTTCTAGTTTGTCTACCTTTAACTTCTCATCTATACTCTTTCCTCTCATTCTTCTCTTCTATCACTTCTTTGTAATTTGATATCAATAACACTACTAAAAAAACAGTGAATACAGACCTAAAAATTACTGACCTCCGGAGGTCGGTATTGTTAAAAAAAATAAAAAATTAAAAAAACTTTAGAAAACCGACTACAAGTAGTCGGTATTTATGCAAAATAAAGCGCAAAAACCAAATACCGGCCTCTGGAGGTTGGAATTCTTCCTGGTAAAAATGAATTGCATTAAAAACCGACCTCTTGATGTCGGTATTAAATAAAATAAATAAATCACAAAATTTTATTTTTTCTCAATTAAATATAAAAAACAAAATTGAGAAATATTTTGATTTAATTTTATTTAAATCGTCTTTCGGAGGACGGTTTTGTGTAAAATAAAAAACAAAAAATATTATAATACCGACTTTCGAAAGTCGGTAAAATTAAATAATATGTAATTAAATTAATTTTCATTAAAATATTTAAATAGTGACTTTCATATAATTAATAAATTAATATTTTCAATTAACTTTAAACAAATAGTCTTCCAGATGACGGTTTTTATATAAATTAAAAAATAAATTAATATAAAATACCGATTTCATGAGGTCGGTATTTTTGTTTCATCCAAATACTTTTAATAAAAGCGACATCCGGAGGTCGGTTGTTTAAAATGTTCCTATTAGTCATAATTTTGCTAGCATAATACTAAATTTTCATTTTACACCTACAATTAATTGTTTAAAAAAGTTTAACAATTTAGTATACTTTTATAGATAAAAAGTTAGAATACGTGGAATAAACCAAAAACATCAATAATCCATATTTAGAGTATGAAACTACGTTGATATGAAAATCGACTACAATTAGTCGGTTTTTATCCAAAATAAAGTGGGAAAACTAAATACCGACCTCTGGAAGTCAGAATTCTTTTCGAAAAAAATGAATTACAATAAAAACCGACTTCTTGATGTCTGTATTAAATAAAATAAATAAATAGCAATATTTTATTTTTTCTCAATTAAATATAAAAACAAAATTGAGAAATATTTTGATTTAATTTTATTTAAATCGTCTTCCGGAGGACGGTTTTGCGTAAAATAAAAAATAAAAAAATATTATAATACCGACTTTCGAAAAGTCGGTAAAATTAAATATTATGTAATTAAATTAATTTTCATTAAAATATTTATATAGTGGCTTCCAAAAAATTAATAAATTAATATTTTCAATTAACTTTAAATAAATCGTCCTCTGGATGACAGTTTTATATAAGTTAAAAAATAAATTAATATAAAATACCGACCTCATGAAGTCGGTATTTTTATTTCATCTAATTACTTTTAATAAAAGCGGCATCAGGACGTCGGTTTGTTTAAAATGTTCCTACAAAATCATAATTTTGTTAGCATAATATTAAAATTTCATTTTACACCTACAATTAATTGTTCAAGAAGTGTAACAATTTTGTAGACTTTTATAAATAAAAATTTAGAATCCGTGGAATAAACTAAAAAACATCAATAATCCATATTTAGAGTATGAAACTACGTTGAAATGAATTATGAGATAATTATACTTATATTTCTAGA